ATCTGTCTGCCCATATAAAGGGAAGAAAATCAATGTTAAATTCTATTTTGAATTAGTTTAATACGTTAGATGTGAATATTGATAACATTAAAATTAATCTAATATGATCAGCATTACTATTTAAACACTATACTCTTTCCTATAAGCATATCAAAACTAGAAAAGGAAATTTACGAAAAAAATTTGCTTACAATTTGCTTTATTCTTAACAAAGTGATTCGTAGAGGTGCAAAACAGTTTGATTACACTATCCATGTGTTTTTGTTTGCTGCTTTTATTTTATGTAAGCAACTTCTTTACTAAACTAATGAGTTTTAAAGCTCATCTGCTCACTAATCATACTGAAGCTTCGTTAAATGTATCAGACATATGGCTGACGTTGCACGGAAGATAATTATTTAAAATGTTAACTTCTGTCTCCGTAAAAATCACTAGTCGACTTAACTTCCCATCGTAATCCTTCGTTAAAGTAAAACCAAGTCAGGAGAAAAACATTTTCATTAGCTCCTCTAACATTTTATGCAGCTGTTATAATAACAGAAGGCTGCTCCGCTTGCAGTTTAACAGATCACAAACATTAAAATGGAAGTGATGCATTTTAAAATGTGAAATTTCACAAGACAAAGTGCGCTTATGCGTTTTGGTTTAGGCCTATAACTTACGCTACCAAAGGCTGAAGCCAATTCAAGTAAATCTAGAAACTGAAGGAAAATTGTAGTGAGACTGTTAGTAGTCGCTGCTAAAAGCATTCTAATAAATTCAAGAAATCTGTTCTGATATACATAAACTATTTTGCATTCTGATAAGAACTGTGGTGGGAATTAATAGTACAGGCAAAATAATAATATAATGGGTTAAAAAGCATAAAACCCGTCAATTCAAAATGTAAACTATTTAATATTTACATTTACTGTGATACGGCTGATAAGTTTTCGTATTTCTGAGTCATGTTTTATTCTAGGACTTAGTACCATTCTTTCCGTAGCTTTTGTTCTGCACTACTGCCATTAAAACCTCTACACCAGAAAGAAAAGCAAATAGCAAAATCTTATTTATTGTACTATACAGTGTAATGGGAGGAAAACATAATTAAATATGCATGCGGTTTCGGGTACACAGCGTATAGAATTCAGTACACAGAGCTGCCATCTTTGGAAGCAACAACGGCTATAATTGAAATGTTCATCGAGTCGAACTGAGCTTGGAAACGGGTATTTTCATTCCGTGTAGCTTCAGCTCTATGCCAGAGTTCATCAGTGTAAGTTGCTGTCGCGTAGTGGTGGCCAGTATCTCGTTAACCCATGTCCAGATGCTGTCAGTGGATGAGAGATCTGGAGAACATGTTGGCCAGGGCAATAACCTCGAAAGCCCTCTGTATCGAGATAGGTCAGAACAGCACGGGTAAGATACGGTCATGCATTATCTTTTTAAAAGATGGCGTCACTCAAGCCTCGAAAATAGGGCACAGCTATAATCCTTAACACGCTATAAATGTAACAGCGGCTATCCACATTACTGGCTATCTGAACAAGAGGTGACCGGAATATGTACCCAGTGGCAGGTGCTGAACCCGTATGACGATGAAGAATGCGAGTTGGAAACGTTCGTTCTCGACGGTGCCTCTACAGATGGATTATGAGATTGCAAGCAGAGCAGGGATTCGTCTGAAAAAAAGACGTGGGGTCACTCCTGTGTCCATTACCGTTCATCGCACCACTGTAGACGCGCCTATCCCTGCTATAGCTTCACAGGAAAGTAATACTATGGTCGTCGTGCTGACAATCCGCGGTTCTGCAGACGAGGCAGGTTACTGAATTAGGATACATGATGTGTACGATCTCTCAAGAAATCGAGAGAACAACATATATTACCTCTCAGGCGATAGTGACCCGGGGCCGCTGAGATCCTGCATAGCGTTCAAAATAGACTTCATGGACCCATCCATTCCATATTCACCTTGACAGTAATAAGATCCCGATTAACACGAATAGCGTCGCAGAACGGTAAACCGCAGTCCCGACCGCGATCCCGCCGCGGTCGAATTCCGAGACGAGCTGGTAGGAGTATCTCTTGCTTATACGAGGCATAACAGGAACTTTACACAAAAAAAGCAATGTTCAAATGTGATTTCCAAATGAGAAGCACGTTGCGCAGGCTTCCCATTTATGAACAATATAGATGGGATTCCTTGTACTTACTTTGTGAGCATGGTCTGTAATGCAAATCATTTGCGTATCCCATCATGTACTACCTTTCATGCAAATTGACGTTTGCTGCATGCCACCTACACCGTGTTGCAATAGTAATAAAGTCCTCCACGAAGGCATCCCTCCCTTTAGGCAGATAGCCCTAGTGTGCTTTGCGTAATTAAATAAACCAAACCAAACCCAGTTCATCCGCTCCTTGAACCGTCTATGTCTGACAGAGGAAACACTTACTTTCGCCATTTGAAACGGTTTAGAAGAGGTGGCTCTTACTACTTTGACCCGATTCATCTTTTGATTTGTAATATTATTAAATATTTCATTTAGACAACTTTTTCTAAGCAGGATAATGAATTTCAGACAGGTTCAAAATATGTATGTCTGAATCTAGTAATGTTTATTTATATGTAATAGCAGAACGTACGCGGTTGAATCTGTAATGAACAGCGAGAACTTTGATTGCTTAGAAGTGTTGAAATTCCAATCCATAATGTATAAGAAATTTGGCAGTCGAGGTATATTTAATTCAACTTTTATTTCAGCAAACATATTGCGGCCACAAACAAGTTGGCACGTTATCTATGCCTATTCCAAAAGTTTACATTTTTGACAAATTTGCTGTAAGAAAGAAGGAGCAGACAGACCGCAGTCCAGCCAGGGCAAAGCGTAGAAAGCAAGTGCGTTATGTTCAGGGTGAAATCTTTATTCAGACTGAGTTGGTTTTGGTTCTCAATGCATTTTGATAGGATAGTTAATAGTGCTATAAAATTACTATTGGCTGTTTGAGTTTTAGTTCCATTTATATTATTCCATTTATATTTTAGTGACGTTTATAAGACCTGTTCGTACGTTTTCATAATTTAAAAAAATAATAACGTTTTGAAAATGTGTTTGTGGTCAGTGTTTTAGATTTTTCTTTGTGGATATTATGTTTTTGTATTTTTTGTTTATTTTTATTCTTTGATTGTAACTAATAAGGACGAACAACACGTCGGTGTAGTTCTTTGACACTATGAGACTATTAGAAGTATTATTTAACACTCGCGAACAATTAATTAATAGCGTTTGGAGTGGCATAATGTCAGGAAGAACGGAACGTGTGATCAGCCCTAATTAATCGTCCAGGCTTTAATGCTTCAAATACTTTCAGTGGCCCTTGAAAGGTTCTGTGTGAAACATTAAAACATAGGGTGATTATGTTTATTTGTTACTCCAGTTCGTACCTTTTTATCAATTTAAATGCCACTTTGTAAGAAATTTCCTTATCCCGCTTTATTATTTTTCCACTTCCAATTAACATACAAACATCTTACTCCCTACACAATCTTCCTCAAGAAATAATCTTTTAAAAAATGTTGCTTTTTATCTTAATTTCTTATATATATGTAATTAATTAATTAAAATAAATTATAATTTGAATTTAATTATTGAATTTTTTTAATTAAAAAAAGTAACTAAACAACATTATAAGCTAAAATTTATATTATACTTTAAAATAGAATTGTGTAAATACTGTGAAATAGAGAATTCAACTGACCACTTCGTGATGATTTGAGCAAGAAATGGATATTAAACTGCATCAATTAATTTCTCATATTTTTAAATTTTGTCTTGTTTAAATAATTTTAAAATTGTTGTTTAATATTTGCAGCAAACTGTCACTCTTAGCCTAAGGCTGTTGACAACTGTCTTTCCTAGTGCAGTATAATTTTTAGTTTATAATATTGTTTAATTAATATGATTTAAGTTTCAAAAAAATTTCTAATTGCTTATAGTTCTAACTTACTTTAATTAATTATTTTATTGAAGTCTTAGCAGCAACTGTGCTGGATTTAAGTTTTGAAAATCCTCTTTACACACGTTTCCGTTTTCATTATGTATATAGACAAGAGTTGGAGAAATTTCAAATACAATTTTGTTTTGATTTTGATTTGAGTGGTTACTGTCGAAGAGTTACTGTCGCTTCATGATTTAATTTTGATTTAATTATTTTCTCCCGATTTCTGTTGTCCATTTGTTTTATTCTGACATTTCTAAAAAGCGTTAAATATATTTCTTTTCGTCTGTTGTTCACTTATTTTATGTTGATTGAGATATTACTGGTGAATATAAGGTTTCTGTGGCCAGGATCTGCATTTTAATATTATTATTTTATCTTGTGTTTATATATATACTACATATATATATATAATATATATAAATCTTTGCTTGTTAGGGCCATCTAATGTTTACAATAACTTTAAAATCCATCAAATACGCTGGCGTAGCGAAGGTATAAAAACAAAGTTGAAAGTGCATAATGGGCGATGATATGATAGTTTCAGTGGCCATCTGATCTTCTGCTGTCAGTAGCAACATAATAAATATAAACAATCATTGACTGAATCACATGTGCAGGTTATAACATGTTCATCTGCTTAAATATATAATTGATAAAAATCTGACTACTTTATATTGAAGCAGCTGAGCATGATCGGTTATTGAATTAAATTACATGCATAGGGCACGTCGTAAGAAGTAAAATCCTTGCAGTTTGTTGCATTTCATTTTCTACTTTTTAAACGAAGAGGATTTGTTTCAAACATTCAAGGAATCCATATACATGAGGAAAATTTAAAGTTCTATGTGATTGAATGGTGTTAAATGGATGACAACGCGGGTACATTCCGTACGTGTTACTGCTGATGAAGAATGATCAGATATTCCCTGAAAACTTTAGCTTTTAATGGTTTTTTAAGCACTTTTAACGTTGTTTTCATATTTTCGTTATGTAATGTTATTTTATTTTTGTTCCAGCTCTCCAGTATTTAACTTCTATTCCTAGAGGATGGGAAGCGCAAGCTTCCCTGAGCACTGGATGTCCTTCTATAATAAGGTACTGTCTTGTTTTATTTTCTTAAATATTGGTTAGACATGTGCTTTCAGTTTTAAAACTGTTTACAGTAAGGTTTAGAATTATATGAAAATGAACTCATCATTGCTGCTCTGTTCAAAAACAGTAATAACTTTTTTTCTGGACTGTGTCATTTCTAGAATAATCCTATCACATGACTTTACTTTTACATAACGATGATGTAGCTAATTCAATCAGAAAAATAATCAAAATTTTGAGAACCGTAAACTATCTTTTAATTAAACTTCCCATATCCTAAAACTCCGCACTTTGTTTCTGCTTCTATTACCGCTAAGACACTGCCACGCTGCTTTCTTTTTATCGCAGTAGTGTCAAAAATGTAAATGCTTTGTAACGGCCACGACTAGAGTGCCATAAAGAGAATGAATAGTGGTTGCAAATGTCTATTGAAATAAAAAAGAATATTTAATTTGCCTCAGCTGCCAAATTTTCTCTTCATTATTAATCAGTATTGTATTTGGTATTTCTGCATCATTGTAATACAAACACACGAATGTGTATAATCTAACACTCGATATGACTTCTGCGGAGTTGAAAAAAAAAATCAGTTAATGCATTTAATTATTTACTATTCCTTATTTAGTTATAAAAGTCACCGTACCATTATGTGAAAAATATAGGGATGTATTCGTGAGAAAATTTAGTTTTTTCCTTCTTACTCTTCAGTCGCAAAATACTTTTCTAGTTCAGCATTCGCCGGGAATGTCCAAATCCATTGGTCATTTCACCGCCTTATCACCGAAAACATTCCCCAGGGGGTATCAAATGGGGCAACCGAATTACACTTGCAAGAAAGGGGAAGCTTCTTCTTAGTTTTAATGGAGTACACTGTGAGGCGGTGAATTGGAGGATCTCCGAACTCTACTCCCCCAGCCACCAATCTTTCGAGAAGGCTTTCGGCTCGACAGTTATTTTAAGTTCCCCTACGCCGGAAAAACATATACATTTAACATCCATGCAGTCTCTATATTTTGAACCTGCGCCCAAGGTTATGGCAGCGAACTTAGCATGGCAACAGGTAGTTGCTTACACAGATAATTTTTCCCAGCCTGTTACTGAGTTAAACTGAAAAATGTAAGAACAAGAAATTTTTGAAAAACAAAATCTGTTTATTTAGTCAATAAATAATTTTCGTTTTATACTGTAGTTAAATGTGTAGCTGGTGCTTTTAATTTTGACAAAAGTGCTTATTAAAAGTATTTCGATAAATTTTGTTAATAAAGATGTGGAAATTCTTATTTTTAAGTAACTGGAGTACACATAATATTTCATTATTTAGAATTTTTATTCTATGGCTGTAATAGCGACCTATGAAATTCCGTAAGTCAAGAGTTAAAAAATTGCGTGTGGTGACGCGGCTGACTTGTTACTTCCCTCCCAACAAAAGAAAAATAACTCGTTGCGTATTATTAAATAAACCAATTAATGCGTTTTATTAAATAAACACACAAATTCTGATCATGTTTGAGGTTACGCATGTAAAATGAGTCATACTTACTGGAAAAAAAAATTGCTCTATCTTATTTTCTGTGCGTTCAGTTTATGCATCATTGAAAGGCATGTTACTGTCTTTAAAGGAATGTTTAAATTTTTTACTTATAAAATGAATGTTCTAAATATTAAGTGCTGATTCGTATTTCAAACGCTATATTAGTTACATACAAATAATGTCTATTGTAATGACTCGTACACGTATAAAAACAATTTTTCAGTTTCAAATATGTTGCGGAGTAACGTATTGACTGTTTCAGTGACGTCCAACAGTTCTTATTCAAGAGAGGGATGGAGTAGCATTAGCATATTACAAGGACGTTTTTAACTGTAATGAAAAGAAATATAAAAAATATATAAAAAATTTAATCTAAAGGCTATTTCTAGCTTGATTCGCACTAAAAAGTATGAAATAAAATAATTACATGACTTCTAGACTACAACACACAAAAATTGTTGTTGCTCTTAATATCTTTATATTTATTTTTAGAGTGAATTAATCTAATAGAAGTAGCTTTTAGATTAACTTTTTTACTTCCTTGTACGAAGTAAAAAGGAAGTATTGTAATCGTGAAAAGTTTCAGGCATCATATTTCAACGCAAATATCCATTTCCACCGCTATCGAATGCAATTTAACGATGTTTTTGCGTGACATCTGTACGTAAGGACAGAATAAAGGACTCTTTTCCACCAAAAAAATTGTAAAACTAATTTAAAATGAATTCTGAAGAGAATTTTTCGTAGCGTCTGTGCGTACGTACGTATATGTATCTCCCATAACTCAAAAACGAGTAGTCTCAGAACGTTGAAATTTTGTATATAGGACTGCTATAACATGTAGATGTGCACCTCGTATTTTGGTTGCATTCGGCCGCACCAAAAGTATATAAATATATGTACATATAAATCCACTCTGTTACTCGGCTCAGGGATCTCAGTTTCTTTATTCTTATATGTTTGTAAATTGTGCATTTTTTGCTTTAAAAATGATTGAATTATATTGTTATCTTCCGGTTAAGGTTTTTATGTCTGTAGTAAATCTGTATGCAATGTTTTTAGAATTATTAACAATTTAAAAGTTGTTTAAGTGCCGCTAAGCCTAATAAGTTTTGCCATGGTGGCCATTGCTTGTTTACATTTGAAACAGCAGAATAGTAGATTTGTTGCCAATCTAGAGAAAGTAAGCTTCGCAATAAGAAAGATAACGCCTTCTTTTATTATTTCGAATTAAATCATGCTTAATCCATTCGGAATTTATTCGAGGAAATAAGTGTTTAAGATTTACTTCATAATTCGCAATATAGACATCTTGAGTTTTTATGTATTTTTGCCTTGTCGCGAAGTGAGAACTGAATTAATTGAATGAGATATACTGAATTGTCTGTGAAAAACTGTTTCCTATTTTTATTTTTTTATTATTATTGTTCTTTGTTTAATTTCTTTTATACATCGTTTTAGATTTATTATAGTATTTCAATAGAACATGTGGTAACAATTAGACAATTCTTAAGATGATATAAATTTTGTGCATTCTGACTTAAAAAATGAATGAAATGTAACACTGTTAAGTGAACCTAAGGCCAGAATGTCGCTATGGTAAACAAATGTACTGAACTTTAAAGAGTGTATGTGGTTTATGCGCTATCGTCAAAGTAAGGCCAGAATGTCGCTATGGTAAACAAATGTACTGAACTTTAAAGAGTGTATGTGGTTTATGCGCTATCGTCAAAGTAGATTTAATTCAGCCCAATAAGTTTAAATGAAATGCAAAAAAAATGGGTATAATTTAATATTCCGTACAAGGAAGTCATGTGGTGCACACATAAGATTTTTTTAATATTTTATTTAAAAATGTTTTCGTTCTGAAATTCATTAAGCACCGTTTTTTTTCTATTTATTAAGCATATGATGTTTATTAAGCAACTGCAATTTCACTCAGCTTTAATTAAATTTTGCGTGATCAATTATTTTTGGAAATTCTTAATATTTTGTTTATATTTAACATCTGACTCAGCAAGCAGTTTTCAACGCAGACGTTTACTTTAGCATCTAGTAGCGCGCGCCATCTGTTAATGAAACGCTATATGAATCCTTTTGCGTGCTATCAGAACGTAGTTTTATGATTTAGATTTGTACCTTAAAAATAGCCTTTAAAAATGGAAAATAGTTTCTGGTACAAATACGTACGGATCACATATGAAATTAGAGTTTCCAAGCTGACGGCATCTGCCTGATTTTTTGGGGGGACTGTCAATTGAATGAGTTATTCTTACTCTGAGAGTGATAAGTTATAATTTTCATTCGGTGAAGAAAATTTAATATATAAATCTATAAATTCCAAGTTTATGAAAAAATTTCCCATAGTATGTTTTCTGTAATAGTGACCCTTCTGAGGGGGGGGGGGGGGGAAAGGTTATGTGTCAAAAGAAACGTCTCTAGTTTGACTACTTCTTACTCTAGTTTGACTACTTCTTACTCTAGTTTGATTTTTCTCTCCGTAAGTAGATAAATCATACATGCTAAGTAAAAAATAGCTTTTAAATGTCCCTGAAGATTAAGGTTTAACACCTTTATAAATTAAAATTTATCAGACAATTATTCCCACTATACATAAAAACCTAGTCATATTCAAATTACTGTAAACAGGAAGACTGGACAAAAACCACTTCCTGAAGTTTAACTAAGTGCATCCTTTAGAAATCTGGCAGTTCTTTGCAGTCTGTTGGTCTAAATGAAGCATGTAAATTTAGCAAAGTCACATGTTTTATAGAATTTGTCACAGTCAAGTCAGTGTCAGAACACAAGTCAAGTCACGATCATTTTCCAGGAAGCATTTCTGTAAGAATAACACAATGACTTTTTGGTAAAATTACTGTAATTCTTAATTAAACGTATATCTTAAAGATTGTTATTGCAACAAAATGAGATTTTATTCCAAGAATTAGTAGATGTATCTTTGTAGCTCCCTACACCTGATTTCAAAAACAATAAGTATTGTGCTATAAAACGAAATAGCAGATACGACACAGTACTGTTTATAATGAACTCTACTCCTGAAGTAATTAATTAATAATAATTATTTTAATGGTCAAGTCGCTTTTGATAAAAAAAAATTGGCTTATTAGTGGCCGAATGACTGAAGCTATGTAATAGTTACATTTTTGTTCCCAGTTTGACATTTGGAAAAGAAAAAACTGACTACGTGAAATTTCACCATTTTGAGGATGTGTAAAGAAAATAGAAATTAGATCCTTTTGGGAATTCCTTAGAAAAAGTATCCTTCGGTAACCTTTGACTTTTGCAGTTTTCGTTCAGCAAAGCGGCTGAGTGATTCAATTATATTTGACCTTAGAAATAAGCGAAGTGTTAAATATGCAAGGTTTACCGTGTTATTCCGTAACCGCGTTTAGGTTTACGAAAGTTACAAATAGCCTACTGTGAACCAGAAATTTTAGTAATAACATTAATG